TGAACTTGTGTTTATGTGAATTTTGTTCCTTCGTTTCCTGCTACCTTGTCTTGGTGGCCGTGAGCCAGCAGCTTGTCCTACTAGATGGCTGGCGACTACTGCTGCCTCTGGTGATGGCTAGCTACATGTTCCTCGAATGACTGCTGATGATACTACCTGATGGCCGGCCGCTGCTGATAGCCTGCTGCAGAATGCTACTACTATTAGGGCGCCGTTCGGCTGCTCACAAAATCAGCCGGAATTCACTGTTTACGGATAAAAGTTACTGTTCACGCTCTCATAAATTCCTCCAGGTTCATACAGATTCCTCTAAATTGCCGAATGCTATTACTAGATGGCTGCAAGGAGGGCTCGCCTGGCCAGAAGGAGGCGGCAGCCGGCTGAGTTGGCGGCGGCGGCAGGAACGCGGCGTCGGGGTCGCGACCCTGTTGAAGTGCCACGAGAAAAAAAAGACCAACCAAATATTGACGTGGAACCAAATTTGATTATTTGAAAGCCATTTATTGGAAATTATTGAAGATGGCCTTCTTTTTTTCCTCCCAATACTTTTTGGGGAGTTGCAAAACTATATGATTTGGGGAGAAAAAAATAGGGTACTCTTGGAGATGCTCTAAGTGGGTACGCACGCTGAGGTTTGTCAAACCTGAAGTGGCGACACTATTTCTCTCCCCGTATGCATAAGCTAGACCCACAATCCTCCTTTTTTTTGCCCCCTTGTTCTATCTCTACTACAGAACTGGGGTCGAGCCAAGTTCGATCGAACCGTGTCACCTCCGACCCGACCACACCATCTTGATCAAGAGCGGAGGACGAGGCACTCCCACCCGAAACCTCTTAACCAGCTCTAAGCATTTTTTTATATTTTAATAGAAGAGAGAGAAGAACTAGTTTTGATCAAGAGCTAAATTGTTGCACATATTTCAAGATTATCTAAGAGTCAGTAGCTCTTAGTACTGGGGTGGCTTAAAGCCGCTCTTTTAAAGATGACTAGTATAATACCCGTGCTAACGCAACGGATTTATCTTGGAGACGCGCATGAAAACAACCAATGTTTTTTTCCTGTTGTACCCCCTCAGAAAAAATAATTGTTGTCACCAAAAGGAAATGCATGTTTCAGTTAACTGTTCCGCCAATGAGTTATTTTCAGGTGTTACAGAAATGACTAACTGCTTTATCTTACTGGTATATTGCCCGTGCTAACGCTATGGACCACGTTACGTCCAAAGTTAACTTTGCCTTTGTATCTAAGATCACGCCTGGAAAGACGTCTAATTAAAAAGCGCATAACAAGTTGACAAAAACAAACTATTGTGTTTGCCAACATGACACAATTATATGAGCAAAAAAGATACTGTGTTCCTTACTAAGTTGGACCGAATCCTCTGGAGATGAGACTGGTACAGCTTTTCTTATTTTTTGTTGCCTATAATACATGGCAGACAGCCAGATGCCAACAATAAAGAAAACAATACAGGTTTTCCTGCTACTGCTCCTCCAGAAAGGTTATTTCCTGTTCCATGTAGTAGAAGTGAATTAATTGCCTTTGTTTCTATCAACTGAACAAACCATCCAACTTTGCTTGTCGATGTTATAGAAGCATATCTCACAGAAGTGTAGAAGTGTGCCAGCACTGCACAAGGTGATGAACTATCAGAAATCTGAACCTGTTAAATATAACGGAAATTAAAGATGGTACTTGAACAGATAACAAAACAATACTCACCCTGGTTCCATAGGACGGTAACTACCTTCTCCTTATTGAAAAAAAACACTAAAGGATTCCTCCATCTTCTTGGTTTTAGCAGTTAGCAATTCAGAACTAACCATATTAGTTTTAGCTTGACCATCATCATGAATGGAATCCTGTATCCCACAGCCCTAAATCTGCTGACACCCATCCTTCCAACTATCAGGCTCCGTAGCACATAGGGAACCAACAAACAACTGTATTAAGAAGAAGAAGAAGAATGCTCTTTGTGAAGCAATTAAATAGGAAATATGCCAAAACTATTTACCTCTCTTCTTATCCTTGGTTAGAGGAGCCGGGCGAGCCGCGCGAGCCTGGCTGCACCCCCAGCTGGAGGCGGCGGCGCCGGCCACGCCCCTAGCCTAGCTGGAGTCCGCGCAACCAGCCACGCCTCCTGCCTTGTCCCCATCCTCGATCTAGGGTTCAGGCGAGCGCAATGCGCGTACGGCGGCATCGAGGGGAATACCAGATGCTTCTATTAGTCACAACTTTCTCTCTTAAATCATCTATCTGCAGTAGTAACTCACTGAAACTTGTCGATTGTGCTGCTTCTAGGGGAATACCTGAAAGGAGTCCCATGAGAAAATGGAATATGTACTAAGTATAGTGAAAGGTATATGACAACATTTCTAATATTTGATGCGTGCAGTTTACCTCTATAGTTAAGATTAAGAATGAGAAATGGAAAGTAAAACAATCATTTCAACAATCAGCATAGGATTGCTGAAGATGAAATTTCATATTATCATCCATATAGATCCTAATCCTGAAAACATTGGTAACCGAGACCGCACCTTGCATTTCTGTTTCTAGTACTTGTATTTCCTCGAGAAGCAAATTATTTTCATGCTGCACTTTCTTCAGCTCCTCCATGGCCATAAGCCACTGCTTGTTAATGTACAGGATGTCTGTAACAGATAAATGTTAAGGCCTATTTATCGACAAGGAGCGAGCAATGTGAAAGAGTGATTCCAATGGGAAAATGTGTGCTACATTACGATGAAAAGTAACAGTTGGCAGCACTAAGTTGTGGTCAGATACAGAACACTAACATTAGGTAAAGCAAGGGAAGAGTAATTACTCCGTTGAGCCAGGCTGAAGAGCTCCCCATGCCTGATCGCTATCTGCTTCGATGTCCAACTTACAAAATTCCCAGCACCCCGACATATAGAAACATCATCAGCCGGTTTGGTCCAATTCGAGCACTAACAAAATCGAGATATAGCGGGAAACCACCGGACGATCTTTGGAGCTCTCATGGCAAGGGCTTACCGCGAGAATCGCCGTTACCTTCCCCGAGATACTGGTTGGAGGACCGAATCACCGAGCAACCGCACGCATCTGAGTGCGATTACTACGCGTCGCGTCGCGCGAAATTATCTGAGCACACACCACACGGAATGGTGCTGGGTTTGGGATTTGCACACACCTGAAGGAGTAGTAGGAGCACCGGGTTAGGAGCGTCGGTCGAGTGGCGCGGGCGAAGGGGAAGCAATGCACCCCATCGCAGCGGACGTTGCAGGAGGCGCCGCCCGAACCGAGGAGTGCTTGGGGATGGCCGCACGGATCTCCGCCAACCCAAACGGCGATGGCGCACCCGGTAGAACTCCGCCCGGTAAGCGCCGTGCGACCACGCCTCCTACCGGCGAGAGCGCGCGTCATGTCCGCGATCGCGTCGCAGAAGTCCCAGCGCTCGGCGCGGCAGCGCCGCCGAGCACACGTCCGTCAGCGTCTAAGCCGCTCGGCCAAGATCCGGGGCCGTTCATCTCCTCCGCCGCTCTCCCGGCGATCTAGGTCGCCCGCGGATCCGGCCACCTCGCAGCAAAGCCCCAGGGCCGTTCATCTCCTCGGCTCCACCGGCGATCCAGCCGCCCCACGATCCGACCACCTCGCGTCTCGGTGGCCGGCGGCCTCGCCCTGGTGCTCGGTGCCGGCGTGGCACTTTCGGTGGCGGCGCCCGATCGCCTGCCTCTATCACGCGTGTGTGTGGAGAGATAAGCGGCCTCGTCCCGGTGGCGGCGGTGGCGCGGCTTGAAGCGGCGCTCACCTCCATCCCTCCATCCAGCGGCGCGCGGTGGCGAGATCCAGCCGCCCGACCTCTGATCGCGGCACCATCGCCGCCTCGCCATTCTCCTCCAATGGCGTGAGGCGCCGCCGCCTCCTAACCCCTAACCTGCATTGAGTTTTTTTTGGGAAAAAGCGTGGTGGTTGCGGGAAAAGAAAACCTGAGGCGGGATAGAACCGTGGTCGGGGAACGCGGGCGTTGGGAGCTGGGGCGCGGGGGGTTGCTGGTTCCTGGAGATCCATTGAAGGATGACCGTCGAATATGGTTGAGTAAGGAGAGAGAACGGATGAGAGTTAATCTGGTTCTTACGTTTTTGGGGTGGTGTATTTCTGGGTGCATATACTGGTGTGGACGTAGTTAAGGTCATGACTATAGAGTGAGTAATTGTTGGGTGGATCTAGGATAATTTAAAGTGGTGTATTATAGGGGTAGAGATAAAGTAAAAAAAAACCATGTCCGGGGGTGTTTAAATCCAAGAGCTAAAGTTTAGGGGTGTCACATCGGGTGCCACATAGAGGTGTAGTAATAATAAAATAAATTAAACAAGTCATCAGTAATCCACGAATTTATTAAGCTTAATTAATCCATCATTAGCATATGTTTACTGTAGTACCATATTATCAAATCATGGACTAATTAGGATTAAAAAATTCGTCTTAATCTATGTATTTAGTTTTATAATTAGTCTATATTTAATACTCAGTGCATGTGTTTAAATATGCGTCTAAAGTTTAGAACGGGGAAAATAACCAGGTGGAGCCCTAAGCTGTCACGTGGTCCTGGTCCACGCAGTCAATGGGTAGTCGGGCCCAGCAGAAGCAGTCCCTCTCTCAGATCTCTGTGTCTCTGACCATCCGTGCCACAGACATCACGGCCCCACCTTACCGTTGCCGGCCTGCCCTTCCCAGCCCGGCAGTCCCACTTCTCCCCCTCGCTTCCATTTCAAATCGCTCTCTCCACCCAATAGCCAATAGTCCTCGCCGTCGTCAATTCATCATCCATCCATCCCCATCCACCCATCAACTCTCAGATCTCTCCCCCCCTCTCTCTCCTCTCTCTCTCTCTCGCGCGCGCTGCGGCGGATGTCGTCGTCGGCGCGCTTCGATCTCCGGGTAAAACCCTAGCCCCCAGCCGGCCGGCCCCAGATCCGCCGCCCTCCCCTTGTCCACCTCTAACATCCTCCCTCCAATGCAGGCCTCGTCGGAGCAGCTGCAACCGCCGCCGTCGCACGCCAGCATGAGGTAAGCGCCATCGCGACCTCCCTTCTCTCTCTGTCTCTCCCTCTCGGGTTCGAGGCGGTTTGGTTCTGATGGCGGTGGTGTGTGGCGTGGCTGTTCGTGCAGCGACGGGGGCGCGTTCGCAAACGCGGGGAACCTGGAGCACTGCGCCCGGTACCTGAACCAGACGCTCGTCACCTTCGGATTCCCGGCATCTCTCGACCTCTTCGCCACCGATCCGGTACCCTCCTCTCCTCTCTCTCGTCCCGGCTCGCCGCTGCTTCGCGTTTATGCATTCATTTCAGTTGCGGGGGTTTGTTTGCTTATGATTTTCGGGGTTTACGGGATTTATCTTGTCGCTATTTTTTTTAAGTACAAATTGCGGAGGCCAATTCGTCGATCCTTCTGGTATTTCGCCTCTGTTCGTTTTCCTGGATACCTGCTTAATTTTTCCTCTCTACCTCTCTATTTCCATGTTCCATTATCTTTATCTGGGTTACCTTTTGGGTTTTGTCCGTGTTTTTCCAATAATCATTTTGTTCTTTCTCCAGTAGGAATGCTATGGTAATTGTTACGTTGTTCCCCTCAATTTTTATGTCAGATCTTCTGATACATTATCACCAATATATTGTGATTTTTTTATAACATTGTGAATTTTGTGGTTCTGCGTGGGTAGTGTCGGGCAACTTCTTTTGGATTTGGAGATCAACCCATGAAGATGGCTGTTAAGTTTTCTTTCATGTGCTTTTCTCTGTAAACTTACCACGCCTCTTTTTGGGTTCTGTTGTGCAGGTCTCGATTGCAAGAACATGTAACTGCATCTATGCACTGCTGCAGCAGCGGCAGAGGGATATTGAGTTCAGGGAGTCTACAAATGACCAGCGGCAGCGGTGAGCCTTGCACCTACCATTTCTTTCCAATCTGTTTCATGTTTTTAATTCGGATGTTCTTAGCCAGTATCAACCTGTTAACTGTGAATTGTCACCAGATCTGGAGGGTAGCACTGATTAGCAATACACTACTAGACATATTGCTGCATCACTAAACAGTCTAAACTTAGTACTGGTTGGTAGTGATAGATGCTGGTTATTCTTCTCACATGACATTATTGTTGTCATTCATGTTTGTCTTATTGACCTAGGGCATGATGATGGTAGTTGATTGAATCACGTACCTGTATTAATTAACAATAAGAGTATGAGTTAGAGGCCGCCCATGTTATGAAACCTGAAATATGCCTTGTCCAAAAGAATTGCATGTTAAGGAATCTTGCCAAAGTTCAGTGTCATAGCCTCATAGGGTAGACTTGTAAAGAGGAAAGCCCTGAGAAATTGAAGTGATAACTTTTTTGTTGGCTACTCTGCTAAAGTGCCATGTAATAATACATTTGATTAAATTGTGCCAGTGCGGCTTCATCACATTTTGTACCTGATGTTCTTATTCTTTTCCTACTGAACCAACCCATTATTCTATCTCAGACATAGTGAAATGAGGCTTAACTATATTAATAATTTTGAGTTGATATATCATTATGTTAGTACTTGCTTTTAGTGTTTATTGCTGGTTGAATCTTGATTTTGCTTGCCTGTGAAGTTTAACTTTCACAGTGCAATTCTGCCTTTCAATCAAAACTAGACCAGACAATTATGGAATACTGTTTTCCTTGACATCACGCTACCATATAGTCTCTTTTCCCTGACAGTACCACTTTGTGCCATGAGCCAACCCTGTCACCACCAACAGGCAACATGGCACCCTTTGTCCTTTTTCATGTACCTTCCTTTTTTGCCCTTTCAGCATTTGTGTCTCCTCTAAAGTCCTGTTGGTATTCAAATTTTATTGCTCGTGCCTCCTATTTGTCTGATATAACCTGCAGACGTGTGAAATATGTCTATCTTGTAATTAGGTGCACCTAACAACTAAATGAGTTGTTCTATTTGTCATCATTAGTTGCACCTGCATGGTACTATTTGTCCAGAGCCCATTCCTTCACAGTGCTGATGTGCTTCAGGGCATTGTTTGCTTGCCATGAGTCAGTATTAGATCAACATACCTATGATTTTGTTATTAGCTCTTTCTTATCTTCATGCATGTTGTATCAGTTTAGGTGAGGAGGTTAATTCAGTTGATTGCAGCATTTGGACAGTTCTGCCAGAATGTTGTTGGGGTTTGGTGTAAATGAACAGAAATCAGTTCATTATGCGTTCATGCCATTCAATTGGGTGGCCACATTAATGCAATTGACTGCAGCATTTTGAGAATTTACCAATGCTGCTTGAGACTGACTAATGGCTGCTTGATTAATGTTATGCAATGTTCAGTATGCAATCTGATATATCACGACTGGAAGCCAAGATTGAGAGAATGGATGCTCAATTAGCAGCGAAAGATCGAGAGCTAGCTACTCTTACTCGAACGGTTTGTCCTTGTATCAACTCCTCTTTGGTTTCTTGACCATTCTTGGGATTCTAAATTCTTTTCAATTATCAGGAGGCCAAAAACACTGCTGCTCTGAAGTCTCAGATTGATAAGCTGCAACAAGAACGTGATGAATTTCAGAAAATGGTTATAGGAAATCAGGTTAGACTGCCTTATTTTATTCCTTTGAAAATCATCCTAACCCTAGCATGTTTATTTTATTATTGCATTGATGTTTGGTGATGAGGTAAGTTGAACCTGTCCTGACCTACTTTGGTTCTTCTGCAAGCAAGTACGCACCCAGCAAATTCATGAAATGAAGAAGAAAGAGAAGGAATACATAAAGTTGCAGGCAAGTATTTATACCTTTATTGGGCGACTCTGTAGCAGAAACAGCATTGCAATGGCACTGAAAGTACCTATGCCTAATTTGCAGGAGAAGCTAAACCAGGTATTGATGGAGAAGAAAAAGGAATCGTCCCGTTCTGGAATGGAGATAATGAACTTGTTGCAGGTGATATGCCTGTGAATCTTCTTGAATGTTAATTCTTAATGCTATCTTATTTTGCTTTTGGATCTTATTTGGCTACTGAACTTAACAGAAAGAAGGACGGCAACGCGGAACATGGAATGGAAAAAAGAATGACAATGATTATTACAAAATGATTGTAAGCAGTAATGCAATTTTGAAATGCAGATCTGATTGAATTTATTCTGATGTACATTGAGCATGTATTCAGGTTGATGCATATGAAGTGAAGAAACAAGAGCTGATGCAAGAGAATGCAGATTTACGGGCACTGTTACGTTCAATGCAGGTAAAAGAAATGTGATGTTTCAAGTTTTATTCCCTCTTTTTGTATGTTATAATGCATGTAACAGAACTGGACTCATATTCCTACTCGCTCTATTCCAAATTATAGTTCACTTTAACTTTGTCCTGAGTCAAATTTTTCTAACTTAGACCACGTTTATAGAAAAATGCACCAACATCAAATTAGTTTCATTAAATTATTCATGAAATATGTCTTGACAAAGCATTTATTTGAATTTGTAGATGTTAATATATATTATTTTTAAATACTTGGTCAAAGTAAGAAAAGTTTGACCCGGGACAAAGCTAAAATAACTACAATTTGAATTGGAAGGAGTAACTGTTTTATAGTTTTTACTTTTGTACACCTGTAGTTACTGTATTTGATAGGCCGAGAAACCACCGTGGTAACATTTGTGAGCATCAGTGTATCTAATCATAAAGTGTCAAACAGTGTGTTGATCCAAATGATAATGTTTTACCTCAGATGGACATGCGTGAGTTCCTCAATGCACCGAATGGGTCATCACAACCTACTGTTACTGCTAATGGAAGACAGGAGTCAGGGTCTCCTCAGTCTCCACTTGGTGGCAAGACGGTATGAATGCTGGATCTTTACATGTCACACTGCTGGTTTCCTCTGTTTTTCTTCCCTTTTGAATTCACATGGTTCTCTGCCATGTATTAAGTCACACTTTCTCTTTGTTTATGTTGGCAACTTCTGAGTTGGAGTCACGTGATCATTTTTTGTTTCCACTTTGGCAGGATGTCTTTGATCTGCCCTTTCATATGGCCAGAGATCAGATAGAAGAGAGTTTGCGCACAAAAATGACTTCAATCAAGGTAGGAGCGAGTGGATTGAGACTATCACCATCTTATAATTGCTGTTTCTCCATACACACTAGTTTTCATTACTTCATGGTAATTATTTCTGATGACAACCAGGCACGAATGACACAACTTCAAGATGCTCAGAAAGGTGCAGAAGTGACTTCTGAGGCAACTGACCGGGAGCTTGAGCTTGAAGCTCAACTGGTTGAAGCAAGAAGCATCATCCAAGAGCAGGTTTGTGCATTTTATATTTTGTTTATCCTTTCTGAATGAAAGTACTCCCTCCATAAGAAATAGTAAGTTGTTTTGGCTTTCTAGAGTTTCTATTATATATCTAGACACAGTGTATATCTAAGTGCATGTAGAAAAGGCAAAACGGCTTACAGTTAGGAACAGAGGGAGTAGTTCTCAACATGATGGTAATTGCCAACACTGTATTGTATGGAATCCTGTTTATAGTTGACATGAATAAATTTAGTTGTTGTATATGCTCTGACAGCCAATAGTTTGGTCCTGAGGAACCTTACATTTAAGAACTGAATTTGTTGTTGCAGGCTTCCATCATGTCGAAGCACTTCACCAAGTCTGATAAGCCAAGGTGATCCGATATGTCTTGTTTCCCTTTGCTTCTCTTCAGTTCACCTTCACTCCAACTAGACCTTCAATTCATGTATTCCCTTGCAGTGGCAGGAGGCATAGTGGTCTGGATGGCGAGTGCGAGGCATCTGCCGAGGTGTAAAAACATGTCTGTAGCAAGGATATCTGTTCTGCAAGGCCTCCTGTTTTTAGTAAGTACCGAAGTAGTATGTTGCAGGATAACATCGTTCTGTGCTGTTGTAGTATGTTGCAGGATAACATCGTCCTGTGCTGTTGTAGCCCGAGTCTAGGCGCTGTCTAATTGTCTATGCAGTATGATGTGCAGGAGCATCTCCTCGGGCACATGGCTAACCCGATCACATCTAATAGTCACATGTAGCGTAACTGTAATCATATTCATACTGTATGAAGAATGTCAGTGTAGCAACCTTTACACCCCCTGGAAAAAAAGGACCTTTCGGACCTTACATCTTGAAGGAGTGTTCGCGTGCCTTTTTTTTAGTTTATGCAGTCAGCAGTGACTAGTCTTGACAGCACGTTGTCACCTGACCCTTTTTGTTCCCTGATGAAAGATGGTTGCATGTTCATGGTTGCGGAATCAAGTTTATTACCGCAGCGTTAGGATGTTGAGAAGATGCTTCTCGAATGTATTGTCACACGGACCCTGATATCATTTTGTTTTGAAAAGCAACCGATCGGCATCGTGTAATGCTGTTCTGTTTCCCCCAAATAAATTTGACCTGTGTGGGTGTGGCTATGAACCGAAAGAAAGGCACGTAAGAATGGGCCTGTGGTCCAAGACAGTTCGGTGGGATGTTATCCACCAGGGTACCCTGGTGATTGTATTTTTTTCTAGAATTTTTCTAGAAATTCTAGGGTGCACGTATGCATGTGGGTTCTGTGGTACTGCACACTAGAGGCTAGAGAGCCTCTTGATCTTATCTTTGCACGTGCACACGTGTAGTGTGAGTGTAAAGTGTGTGGGTTGTGTGCGTCTAAAATTGTACTTGAAAAAACATGAAAGACGCAGTTCGAATCGCCCAAACTCTTTGGACCTGGGATACGTAGAGCGGCCTTCCGTCCTTGAAATCGTGGAATCAGGCGCGGATTCGGCCCTTGGTTGCTTGCACGTATGACGTATCACGTTCTCTAGACCCCGGATCCAGCCACGTTCTCTGGACTCCAGGTCCAGCTGACTTGGCCTCGTGCCACTGTGCAGTATCTCCACGAGTACTTGTTTCGAGGACACAAGGAAAACCACAGTGCTAGCGCCTGGACATCGTATAAGTCCGGATGCTCGCGCGGCCTATCCTCGTCCGCTGATTTTTCCCGCTCTGCACGCGCACCCCACCCTGTTGCAGCGCCCGCGTGTTCAGACGGCTCGCCTCGTAGACGCTGTCCGCCCTGTCCGTCTCGATTCGAGGCCGTTTGCCCCGCCCCGCTCGCGCACCACGCCCCGCGCCCTCACTGCCGGCCCCGAGCACGCGCCATCCGTAGGACACCGGCGCGCTGTGTGCCCCGTCCGTCGTCCTAGCTCGCTGTGCCCTATTCTCTGGCGTCCGTGCCATGCCACCATCACTCCCCGCGCCCCTCGACTCTCCGAATAACATGAAACACGTGGAACATAACACTAACATATGGAACATCTGGAAACATACAACATATGTGTAAAACATATGCAACATTTAGATAAAACACTTGCAACTTGCTATATAAAAAAACACTTACTGCAACTTAAGACTGAAATAGCTGAAACATTTAGAACATATTTTTGCAACATATGTGTGAAACATATGCAACATCTAGATCAGAACGCTTGCAACATATGTCTGAAACAGATGAAATATTTTAAACAAACTTCTCTGGAAAACTTGCAACATGCCTCTGAAACACATGTAACATGTGCAACATCTCCGATCTACTTTTGGAAACATCCATATGAAACAATTGCAACATACATCTGAAACGTCCAAAAAGTGAAACATACGCTTGCAAGATGTGCTTTCATCACAACATCTCCTTGCTGAGGTTGCGCATCGCAGCGGCCACGACGTCGACAGCGGGCACAACCTTCTGGTGAGGAACGGCGGCGTCGGCAGCACCTCGGCGCGCGCGGGGGACGGGGCGCGGTGCGCAACGAGCTGGAGCGAGCGCGGTGGGGGAGCGAGTGCGGCGTGACGACGGAGGGGGCGTGGCCCGGGATGGAGCGCGGCGCTAGATGGGAGAGCTGCACGGCGTGGGATGGGTTGGGCGGCAGGGAAGACGACAGTGGTGAGCGCACGACGCAGCAACACGCGATGGACGATCATGGAAGTAGGAGATATTTGTGAGAGAGACGAGGAGACACAGAGAGGAAGCAGACCCGCGCAGGCCCAGAAAATCGGCATCTGGACCCGTTCCCGAGCATTTCCATACAGTTTTCTAAAAAATATAAGAATAGAGATTATTCGTTAATTAATTCAGTAGATACGGGAAGACTTTGGGGGTGGGGGGAAGGGTCCGTGTGCGTGCCAGAAGTCATGGACCCCTAGGCTCGCGTGCGCGCCACAATGCGGCTGAGAGAGGGGCCTTCCCTGTTTTTTTAGTTTGAGATTAGAGAAAAAAATCTGTCTTGAGTTGAAGATCACATCTTAACATAACTGTCTCAAGGTTCTTATAATACATTTTTATCGCAGGCAGTGGCAAATTTAGCGCCAAGGCAGTCCCTATCAGGATCGTCCATCAACGAATCTGACCAGGACCAGGGCAAGGCAGGCCAAGAGAAAGGAGCGATCGATGAATCTTGATCAGTCATGTTGATAAGTTGATTGCCAGCCCAGCACCTGTAGCTTACTGGTCAATCAACACAACAACGGACTTGTTGTAAAAAAAAAAACGAACTGAAACTAACGAAGGTGTGCTTATTTAGGCTTTTGCTTTTCAAGATCTCTATTGTGTGTGCGTATGAAACTCTCACTGCTACACAAAACTTAACTGAGGCAAAAAAGAAGATTAACCGAGGCGGGCATCCCAACCGCCTCCACGAAAAGATCACGGTTAATGCTGCCTTAACGGAAGCGGTTGGTCGCCTGCCTCGTTTAATCAAATAAAAAAACAAAGAAAAGAAAAACCCATGGACAAGCCTAGCGAGCCCACCCGCGGGCCAGCCATGCCCATCCACGGGCCGCACCACCGCTCGCCGGATCCACACCGCCGTCGTGTCCGCTGGCTGGAGGAGTCCGCCCGCTCGCTGGATCCACCCGCTGCTCGCCAGATCCGGTCACCACGGGAGCGGATCCGGCCTCCAGCGGCGGATCCAACCACCATGGGCGCGGATCCGCTGGTCGTCGGCGGCGGCAGTGGTGGAGGTGGTCCGGCGGCGGATCTGCTTCGGTCGGCGGCGGCGGATCCGGATACGGCCCCGCCTCGTCCTCGTGCCACCGGTGAGAGGGAGAGTAGAGCCGCCGGAGTTGACGACGATGCGCGCGGCCGCCGGCGTGGAGGTGGTGGCGCTGGATTCGCTGCCGGGGAAGGAGCAGGAGCTGTTGCTGCACGGATCGGGCGTGCCGGTCAGATCCAGCCGCCTGGGGGTGCGCCCGCCATGGATCCGGTCGGAGCCCGACGGATCCAGCCGCCTGGGGGCGCGCCCGCCATGGATCCGGCGGATCTGGGGTGAAGGAGAGGGGCCACGTCCGCCATGTCGAAAAGCCGAACGAGGAAGAGGGAGAGGGAGAAGGAGGGAGCGGCGGCGCTGCTCGGGGAGGGGAGGAGCCCCGGCCCTGAGAGTCACGAGGGAGGGGGCACGACGCTGAGTCTGTCGCGTGGTGCTGAAAGGAGAGAGTGAGGGGAGAGAGATAGTGAGGGGAGAATGAAACCCTAGGTTAAGTATTTATACTTGAGCGCCTATCGGGCCTCGGCCTTTTTTCCGAAGCGGGCAAGTTAGGAGGTCCGCCTCCATAAATGGGGGCATTTTTGGAAGGCCCGCCTCCATTAATAGATTTTAGGAACCGCCTCCGTAAATAGATTTTGCGAGGCGGTTGACCGTGACCGCCTCGGTTAATAAAAACGACCGCCTCGGTTAATCTCAGGCATTAACTGAGGCGGTTCAAATGGCCGCCTGCCTGCGAGCCTCTTTGGCCAACGCGTCGGTTAAGTTTTTTTTATAGTAGTGTCTGTTTTCCCGAATATGAATTCACATGAATATGGGTTTGTTTGGCTGCAGCCAGCAGGGCTTCTCCTACAGTTTTCTATGAGAGGAGAGCTGCTACAGTGTTACATGAGAGTAGAAAAAACGGCTGCAGCGGTCTTCTCTCACAAAATTTTACAGCGAATTTTGTTTCTATTTTTTCACGAACATGTCTTGGCAACATGCATCGGCAAGTATTCCATTAAGAGGAAAAGAATTACAAGGCACTGCTACAAGGAGCCCAAGGAGCCCTCGTAGCGCAGGTTACAAACCACCAAGCCGGTGGCAAGCGAACTGAAGTTGACCAAAGGGAGATAAAGGGAGAAAGAACAGCGAAGGGGAAGAACCCACAACCCACAAACTCTACTAGCCATAACCTGCGAGAAGGAGATACAACAACAAAAAAGTTGCCTACAGAGAGATGAAGAACCAGCAACAATGGCGGCGACACATCTGCCCGAGATGAACAAAGCAACCTTGGCGGCAAAGCATCCACCAGGTGAGAGGCACGCACACACTCGGCAACAAAGTATCTGCCAGAGAGGGGACCCAGGATAGCAACAACGACAAAGTATTCGCAAGGTGAACGAGCAACAATGGTGACTGACGAGATCCTAACATATGTGTATGTTAAGCCTCGGGTCCAGTGGTTTCCGAACGAAGAAGACCCCTCGACCGACCCCTCTAGGATCGCCCGGGGGCTCGGGGGCTTTACCCATCAGGTACGCTCGCGCGAGCCCCCAGGCTCCTGATCTACGACGATACTTTGGCCCGGCCGTTGGCTCCTGCCCCGCCAACGACGCCAGCCAAGGCCCGGGCACAAGAAGACACGCCCCGAGCTATCAAGGCTCGGGGGCTCCCCGGCGCTGTCCTTGGGCACGGAATTGTCGGCCACTTCCCTGATAAGGTCACGTATGGGGCGTGACACAAGAAGACAAAGCTTTCCCATGGACTCTAGGGGCTCGGAGGCCCCCGGG